TTGGCTCCCACAAAACATCAGTGCAGTGCATTTACTCTTTTGCTCAATCTTAGAATGTGTCTAACATAATTTCAGAATGCTCTAACTATGATATCACAAAAAAACAAACAAGTATTTAAAAGGTGTTCAGGATTTATCTGTTACTCTTCTTGTCCAGAGCCTGCCCAAGACTCAGTGTAGCCCAATGCTGTGCTCATAAGTTGCCTGGTCAGCCTTTGATCCCGTAACCTTTCTGTAAGTGGGCTTATGATGTTGGATTAATTGGCTTCAGTGTGCTTCCGTTTAGGCTCTACCCCCTTCTCAACTCTGTTAATTTCATTTTTCAGGTATAAAGAACATTCATATCCTTCCAAATATGGAGATTATGAAAAAAGCAATACTCTGAGAAGTATCATCCTTTGCCATATCCCTTCTGGCTGTCACCCAGTCACTACACCACATCACATCACCCTGGGTAGAAAAATAGCTCCATTATTTTCTGGCTTGCTTGTCCTGTTTCTTTTTGTAAGGATAAGCAGATTCATTTCTTGTCCTCTTCTTTCTTATACAAAAGTTAGCATGCCTTAGATTGAGCGAGGCTTTTCAAGTACCATTCTTGCTTATTTCCCAAATCGCTCATAGTCAGTGGGGCTGTTCCCATTTCAATGATGAAGAGACTCAGGCTCTTTGCCTGTACTGTTACCGACCTTTATGCATGGTTGGTAAATGGGCTGTTTTATGTGCTTTATAATTTGGATACACTAGAGCAAGATGCCCCACATCACAAAACATGCAGATAATGGAGTGCAGTTTTTAATGCATGTAGTTGATGTCATAGGAAGTGGCAACTGTGATCCTGGGCAGACTGTCTCCTCCTCTGGCTTTCAGGGCTGCATTGCCCTTTTAGCCTGGAATTTGCATTGTCTTTAGGGCATCATATAAAGGCCTATATCAAACTGGGAGGGGTTTTATATTTTTTAGTTGAGGTGAAATTCACATAACATAAAATTAACCATTTTAAAGTATTTTTATTATGTTTATTATAGATGATGTTCTACAACCATAATTTTTATCTAGACTCCAAAGTATTTTCATCACCCCTGAAGGAGACCTTCCACGTATTAAGTAGAAAGTCACTCTTTCTCTCCTATCCCAACCCCCAACAACCACTGATCTGCCTCTGTGGATTTATCTATCTGGTATAGTTCATATAAATGGGCAGCCTTTGTTGTCTAACTTCTTTCACTTAGATTGATGGTTTCAAGGCTCATTCACATTGTAGCATGTATCAGTACTAGATTCTTTTTCACAGCTGAATAATATTCCATGACATAGAAAGACTACATTTTTCCTATTTGTTCAACCATGGATGAGCATCTGGGGGAGTAGAGTGAAGCTGGGGTGAAGAGTGACTTGTGCTTTGCCCTATTCTGTGCCGTTTTTAGCCATGTGACCTTGGGTAAGCTCCTAAACTGGCTCATTGTCCAAGTTTCTTTTGCAAAATGAAGGTACTTATAATATCTAACTCTTTAAGTGTTTTAAAGGAATGAATCACAAATGTATGAAAAGCTTATAATGTAGTACCTGGTAAATAGTGGGTCCTTAATAATTTCCAGCCATTTTACTATAGGATTGTATGAGGAGAGAGGTAGTGGGTGACAGAGAGTACAAATTCATGTTATTGTGTGTGTGTTTAGCATGTGTTTTCTCTGTTATAGCTGCTAAAACCTTTGTGCCTTTTCTTAAAGGCATATCTATTTTCTCTGCTTTGTGGTTTGGTGTTTTTTGCCCCCCACCCTATCACTGAACATGGAGTTTTACATTTTAGAAGCAGTTCACTAGACAGAATGTCTGTAGTGAAATGTTACATAATTCACATTTAGATTTGAAGAGCTCATTATGAAAACCCTGACACACTTCAGGAATATTAAATTACTGAAGATTGTATGGAGCAAAGAAATTATCGAAGCATTTCAAAATTCTAGATGAGCCTGAATTCAACTGATAGGGTTTCACAGCTTTTACTGGGGAAAGTGATTTGAATTGTCACATGGTTTCTGGCCCTGGAGGACTTTAATCTCCTTAATTACAAAGAAATGAATTTCCTAAATAATTTGGAGTTACTTCACAGCATTTGCTCAACCTCTGGCTCTTGGAAAATTAAAGGGGCTGATGGAGGCCCATGCCGTGTACATCCTCTGTACCACGGCTTCCTTATTTAAGAAGTTTTTATTAAGAATGATACTGGTGTTTCCTTTCATTATGGATAAGGGGATGTACTCCAGAAATTCAAAAGTAATGCTTATAGCACTCGAACACGTCACATTTTGTCCAATAAGTGATTCAAAAATACCCACGGAGTATATTATATTTTGCTGTATTGTAGTTTTTAAAGTTAAGTGGGTTAAAATGGCCCAAATTCAATCCATTTTTACATATTGGCTTTTTAAGAATCCTTGAAATTGTGTAAACCCAAATATCTTAGCTCGTTTTTGTATTTTTAAGTTAAGTACCTATTGTGCACAGGACCGGCATGATGGAATATTGTAGATTCTACTACCACTTCCTTCAATTCGTCCTCAGAAAGCAGACTTAACCCATCTCAGTTTCCTCCTCTGTAAAGTCAAATATGCACATGTGGTCCCTACAAGCCATGTGGCCTGTACCAAGTAACACAGGGAACCATGTGCCTCGTATTTATTAAGCACTTACCAGGAGGCGTGCCATGCAGTCTTCCAATCACAGTGCATATGTGATCCCTATTAATTTGCACAACTTCATGGATTTGACAATATTAGCCCATTGTAGAGATGAAGAAACAAGAGTGGATAAATAACTTCCTCAATATTACATGACTGGTCAGCAACTGAAACTATGAATTTGGTCAAAAATCAAACCATAACATAATTAATTAGGAAGAGATTCCATTTTAATAGAAGGATTGGGAAATGTTTCTTCCTGAACTATTTCTCAGAACAGAACCTTGAGGGTTTGGTACAATATCAAGGCAGACCTGAGAAGACAGATTTGATAGAAAGACAGCAGCACAAGAGAGAAATGCGAAGATGGTAAGGTGATAACCTCTGTACTAACTAATTGATTTGGTTGTTGATTTCAAGCCTCCTTGTCTTTATACACTTTCTGCCTAAAACCAGTCACTCACTCACTCATTCTATGTGTGTTTATTTAGAACCTGTTGATTCTTTCCCTTGTCCATTTGGCAGAAGTTCCTGCTCAGTAGAGCTTATCCTCTGAGCAGCTCTGTTTATTTTTCCAAGCAAAGATGAGTAAGTGCTCCTTTGCCCCCTCAGTATGCCTGGCATTTATGAGTGCTTTACTTCTGGTCATGTACATGAGTTGCTGTCCATTGTGTGTCTGATAACTCTGTTCTAGTGTACTTCTGTGAGTACAGACACCAGGTTCTGATGATGTTTTCTTGGCCAGCATGATTATACAGTAAATGTCTGTTGACACAGAGCCAGTATCTCTACAGAACCTAGTGTCGCCTCTAATAAATATATGTTTCAATAAAGTGATGAACATTCTTAATAAAACTATGTCTATATGTGACCAAGTTTTGTGAGTCTGTCATCTCCCATGTGATGTTGCCTTTGGGAAGAAGTTGGAAAGGGGTGCTAATGGTATAGTACAAGTCGATGACACAAGCACAATGGGAAGAGAAGTTCTTGTTTTCTGTGTGTGGTTTCATGGACTCCATTCTACAGAGATCATTTTCTGTTTTCCTTAGTTGTAGTCTTAGATCTTATAGCTCAAGTACTTTCATCTAGGGTCATTATCCTAACTTCAAAAAAAAATACTTAGCTTCTCCTAAAAATATCTAAATCAAGTATCTTTAGAGAAAGTAGAAATTTCCTTATATTAAACTTTACTATAACTTTATGTGGCTTTTATATTAGACCTTCTAGGTAAGCCATCTTTAATTTTCATGATTAAGAGGTTTAGATCATTATTCTTTTTGAGCTGAAAGTGGCATTCAAGGTCACAACTCTCAGATCAAGCCGTTCTTATTTTGCTAAGAATTGGCTGCACAATTTTAAGATCCATTTCCCCATTTTACCATATTTTTCTTAATATTCTTTAAAAGTAGATAACCAACGAAATATTTATTTTTAGCAAGACTCGGGTATATCTATCAGATTAATAGTGACTAGAAAAGATGATTGACAAAGGGAATAACTTGTTTCATTTAAATGAGGTTGAATGAGGTAGTACATGTGTAGCAGTAACTGAGAGCATAGTAAATACTAGTTGTAATTTATGTGGCTATATTATCATAATTATCATGAGTCTCCTCCTAGCAGTGTCTGAACTTAGTAGCTAGTATTGTGCAATACATATTTATGAGAGAATGAACAAATGCCATGTGTGTCTGCCCACTCCTTTTCTTTCCTTTCTCTCCCTCACATTTAATGCTTGTCTGCTCTTATAGCTGGGGGAAAAGTTGACATAAAAATTGGCTTGCTGGGAAGTTTCTTGGCCCCATTTGTCACCTTACCCTTGGTGCCCAATTGCATGTCAACTCATGTCCCCTCTGATGCTTGCCAGTGAGGGACAGACCACAAGTCACTCTCCTATGATCTGCCTTAGCTGCTCAGGCTCTGATCAAGCTTGGCTGATGGATGGTTGCCCTGTCATTGGAAATGTCTCCATGGGGCTGGTCAGAAAATATGTCTTTGCAATATTTTCTGGGTGGCATCTAGTGCTTGACAATAAGGGACATGGGAAACAAAAGAGTAGGGTTGTGTCCCTCTTGAAAATCCAGAGTTTAAAAATCTCTTTTGAATTCCCTAGTTTGATAAAGAGTTTTGCAGAGAAGCAGCCCATTCCCTTTGCTGTACAAACCTCACCAGTGCCTTCATGAAATCATATGAGCACTTTGTACATGAAGAACAAGATTATTTTATTGCTTTTGTGTGTTCCCTAGTTCATTTCTTCCCCACAATTTCTGCTTAACTTTAATAGGATGATGGTTCTGAATGTTCTCTTGCCTTGATTTGCAGCACTCCAAAAGAGTGAATGACATGTGCAGTGCGAGGCGTCTTTTCTGAAGGGAGGAATCTTTCTCTTGGAGAGGATCCTCAATGCACCTGGCCGAGGCCCAGGACCTGTGTGAAGTGGACTAAGGATTAAGTAGGATGTCAACTGAGACAGAACTTCAAGTAGCTGTGAAAACCAGCGCCAAGAAAGACTCCAGAAAGAAAGGTAGGACTGAATTTGCTCCCTTCTTCATGGGAGCTTTTCTGTACAATAGTGAAGTTTTTTTAATCTCTGGAATGATATAGAGAAGGAACTCCATGCATATATTTTTAAAATATTTTTTGTACTCATATTAATGACTGTTATCTTCAAAAACTGTTGTCATAATTTACAAAGCCCTTCCCTCCAGCCACTTCTCCCCCTGACCCTCCCACCCCCACAGCCCCCAATCTTGTTCCCCTCCATGCATTCTACCTATTATTGCACTATCCTTTGCATATTCTAGTGGTTCTCAAACTCCGGGTTCACCGGAGTCTCCTGCAGGCTTTACTAGATCAGATTGTTGACTCCTGATTCAATTTCTAATTCAGTACTTCTGGTGAGTCCGAGACTGCATTTGTTACAAGTTTCCAAGTGATCTGATTCTTCTGGTCCACAGAGAACCAGTGGACAATTGCCAGACAACCTGCTCACACTCCTCCCTTTTCTGACACTGATTCCCTGCTCGTTCTCCAAGTTGAGTTTCATGGAACCTTTTGGGAGAGGCTCTCCTCACTCTCTACTTGAGTTACTTGCTTTTGTTTAATTTTGCTTTAGTAGCATTCTGATAGAATCTCTCTTTATTAAGAATGCCCTGTGTTTTTGTGGGTTCACTATACTCTCAATTCCTATATATATTAAAGCTAATTCTGTCACTTTTCATGTTTTGGGGAGAACTTGGTCCCTTGGCTTTATAACCATGCTTTCAGTGAGTTTGTCTTTGTTATAATTAGAAGAAAGGTACTTCCGGTCATGTGTGTGTTGGTTGCATGGTGAATGGAAATGAAAAGGGCTCTCTTTGAGTCTTGAGATCTGTCCCTGTGGATTTACAAATTGGGGTTCCCTTTGCCACTCTATTGTAGGCAGTGATTTGTTGAAGGCATCACTGTTCCTGCCCAGTCATGTTTTGTGATGGCATATGTCTGGTAATCTATATGAAACAAGGGACATAAATGTAATACATATGCAGCTCTTGCACTGCCAAAACAGAAGTTAAAGGAAGGACTATAAATTTGGGTTTAGATGTTTATTGAAACACAAATATTTTGGAGACAGTCTATTCTATTCCTTAAAATTTAATGTAACCTTATTTTTTATGCACCATGGTCTAAGAATAGAAGGAAAATAAGTGGGTGAGAGAACAGGTTTTGGGAGAGTTGCTGTATGGAGAAAGATTGTGAATTCAAATGGTTTTGAATTAAAATGCTTTTCAAGTAGAAACTGACAAGTTCTATTTTTGCCTCAAATTTAACCTTCCCAGTAAACTTTTACTCTTGAATGCTTAGTGCATATTTTTTTCATTCATAATTTTAATACACAAAGCAGGATGCATCCTGAAGAAAGGTTTCAGGTTTTCAGGATGCTGGTTTAGTTCAGGATTTGAGATGGGAGCATGAAGGTGACACTTTTAGGTCCTCCTCACTTTCATGCTCTAAGAATCTTTAAAATTAGCATTAAAATGTATCTGAGTAATGTCTGTTAGTGAGTGGCTAATCACCGTGGAGTCTAAACAGGTAGACCCAAATTCAAAATTTCTGACTGTACTACTACTTCTCAATGTGACCTTAGGGAAATTCAGTGATCTGAGCCTCATTTTCCTCTCCTATAAAATGAGGATATGATATAAGACTCAATGATTCTCTATGAGGATTAATTGTAATAAGCCAAATAAGCAAGGAATGGTGGTACATGCACTGTGATCCTAGCACTCAGAAAACTGAAGCAGAAGGATCATGAGTTCATGGTCAGCCTGGGCTATAACAGTAAAAATAAAGAAGGCAAACAAAATACTTTAAAATATGTAGTATCACATTTTGCATATCTTAAATACTCAACAAAGGTTAACTGTATTCCTCTTCTTTTTTTTTCTTCCTTTTCCTCTTCTCCTTCTGCTTTCCCCTTACTTCCCTGTCATCTTTCTCTATTTTTCTCTTCTCTCCTCTTTAATTCATTCCCTGTTATCCACCATGTCTTAATTAGCTTGAACTGCGATAACAAAATACCATAGACAGCATAGCTTAAACAACAGAAGTTTATTTCCTACAGATCTGGATGCGAGAGGTCTAAGAACAAGATCCAACCATCCCATTCGTGGTGAAAGCTCTCCTCTTGGATTGTAGATAGCCACCTTCTCACTGTGTCCTTGCATAGAAGAAGAAAAGAGTAAAATCTCTCTCTTTTCTTCATATTTGACCCCTTTCCCTATAATGAATGCCCTGTTATCATAATCTCAACTAACTCTAATTATTTCCAGTGGCTTCATTTCCAAATACCATCACACTGGGGCTTAGAGGTTCAATATGTTTTTGTGCTATTGAGAATTAAATTCAGGGCCTCGAGCTTGTTAGGCAAATGCTCTATCACTTGTGCCATGCCCCCCGCCCAGTCCTTTTGCTTTTGTTTGTTTTTCAGATAGGGTTTCACACTGCCTTTGCCCATGTTGGCCTGGAATGACCATCCTCCAGCCTCTTCCTCCTGACCAGCTGGGACCATAGGCATAAACCAAACCCAGCTTGTTTGCAAAAGAGTCTCACTAACTTTTTGCTGGGTTGCCCTTGAACTAGGATCCTCTTGTCTCTACTTTCCAAGTAACTGGGATTATAGATATGTACCACCACACCTGGGCTCAACCTATGAATTTAGGTAGGGCATGAATGCTCAGTGTATAGCACACATTGTTTCCTCCTCTTCCTCCTCTTCCTCCTTTTTCTTCCTCATCATCACAATTTTTTCCTCTTATTTTATAGTCAGGGGGCTCTTCCAAAGTGTATTACTTATTTGTTTCAGAGCAATATTTTATAATTGGTTGTAATTATATGATCATGATAAACACTCTTTATTCTAGATATATTTGTCTGGACCAAGGAACCTGGAAGCACATATATACATTAAAGTAGAAAGGGAATGTGCAGTAATAGCCCTCATTCATTGCTTGTTCTTCAATTTTGAGTATGAAATGACAAGTATTCTGTTCAACATAAATGTTGGTAACTTTGGCAAAATGCATTAAAAACTTTAAATGGAATAGATACTTCATATATTGATCTTGAATCTTCAATATAATAATATTGTTGAGCAAGAGTTCAACTAATACTTCCTTCGACTCCTTTTGGATTTCCTATGGAGGCAACATATAACCCGCAAATAGTTTCTGTCTTTGTTCCAGTCTTTATAAACTTAATGCTTTTTCCCCCTATCTTATATTGGTGGGTCGGTCAGTACAATATTTAATCATAGTAGATATCCTTAGGATACCATAGTAGGTATCCTTATCATGTTGCTGAATTATTTGAAATGCTTCTAAATCACACTTAAGTGTGATATTTAAGTTTTACTAAAGGTTCTTACCCTTTATATGTATTATTTTCTAAGAAGGTTTTTTGCACATTGATTTCAGCATTTTTTTCTATATTGGTTGCAATTATTATAAATATTTTTCCTTTATAAATTTTTCTTGTGGTGGAATTTACTGGTAGATTTTCTAGCCTATGATTCTGGGGGCAACCTTACTTGGTCACACTGTATTATTTTTAGGATTTGATTGATTAGGTGAAGAACTATTTGGGTTTTTTCTTAACTTACCTTCATCAGCAGGATTGTCATACAACTTTTTTTTCCTTGAGAAACCGTATGTCTTCTATTACTTTAAATTATATCCTCAAATACTGGTAATTTTAGGAAGGAAACACTGACTAATATTTAGGCTTCTTTTGGGAAAAAACATTATCACTTCCAAAACACAGTATATGAGAAAAGACAAAGCAATCGTGTGTTATCCTATGAACCATAAACAACTACCATTAACATTCTAAGTTTTTCCTTTTGGATGAACTTTCTAGAATAATATGTTATTGAGATCATACTAGTCATACAATTTTACATTCTACTTTGTAATTTGACATTATATCATAAATACATTTCCAAAATTTTACATGATATTATAGAATAGAGAGATTCCTGCCCCCTTGGCAAGATTTAGAAGGTTCCTGAGGGAGATATTTCATTTCTTAAAAAGGAATGCCTGGCAACATGAACCTTCTACTATAGGAAAGAGTGGTATAGAGAAAGTTGAGAGGCTTCTTAAAGTTTCTCACAAGCCTGTCACCCTGTTCCTTTAACTCAGACTGTTGAAAGCAAGCCAGACACTTTGATACACAAGTCACATAGGGGCATATTTCATCACAGAATGGGTTTCTAGACAGGCCATGTATGAAACGTAACTAGAGTATTCACAATTCAAATATGAGATGAAAGTGGTGAAAAATAAAGTTGTTTTCTTCATTTCATTTTTATTGGATTGTGTCACTACACATACAGCTTGTCAAGTGGTGCCTATTCCAAGAATGGAATTTGATGAAGGGCCAGAGGAAGTGAATGTATATTTTCAGGTTCGTTACCTGCTGTCAAAGGGGGAGAGTCAGTTGACACAATTCTTGTTATTTGTAATCCCAGTATTAGGGCACCCAGCTAGGCTAGGTGGAGGAATGGGTCCCCATGGTGAGCAGACACAGATATTTCTCAGGGCAGTGCCTGGGGTTTCTCAGTCAGCACCATCTGGTAGCTTAGTGTAGTGGAAAAAATACTAGCTTTGGAGCCAGGAAGACCTGTTTTTTAATTCTAACTATCCTCCCTATCAACTAGGCAACCAAAAATAGGCTATTCAGCCTCTTGGAACCTGGTTTCACTTATATTTAACTGTGTGTGTGTGTGTGTGTGTGTGTGTGTGTGTGTGCATGCAAGGACACACCAGCATATTATTAGAAGATTGAGGGATCTATCTTGTGGTCTGTGCTATGGTAGTGGCTTAGTAGCAGTAGTTTTTCTGTCTTTTTGAGATCACAGTTGAGCATTTTCCCTTATTTTCTAGAAACACCTAGAGATGAACACGTTCCATACATTTGTGTTAGAGCTATACTAAAGAACCAGAAGCTTACAATAGCAACAACATGGAGCTATCTTATTATTTC